TAATGTTTCTATCAATAAAGGAAAAATCACAACAGGCAAGTAGCTAATTACATACTAGTAACAAAAATATGATTAATGTTGTAATAAATTATGCTATATCAGGCTTCAGGAATTTTACGAATAGCATACGACCTAGCCATCAGAATACAAATCGTATATTTATGTATGTAGGACGTTTCCGAAATCGTAGTATTACCTGCTAGGATGTGATTCTACATCTAAAAATAAATCGGAAAAAAAAGAAGATTCATTTTTAAGAAAACAGTATCTATTGCATTTAAAAGTTTGCCTTGGTGCACATGTATCTGATAAATTTTCAAACTCGATGTTTTCAAAAACGAAAAATTTTGTAAAAAAATTTCATTCTATATTTCTTATTTATTTTCGCACGTAGAATAATTTCCTGTTAATTATTTTTTTGTCACATCTAGAATTAACTAAATTCAAGTATGTATTTGATAAATTTTTAAACTCGATTTTTTTCGAAAACAAAGCGTTATATGGAGAAATTTTATTCCTTCTTTCCGACTTATTTTTACATGTAGAATTACATCTTGGCCGGTTATACCACGATTTCGGGAACACCCTGCATGAGCTTATTAACCAATTTAAAAAACTGCTATTGAAGCAATTTTGCTAAAGTATTGAAGTTGAAATCTTAGAAAAATAATCTAGTATTAATTTCAAAGCATTGGAAGATATACTCATGGAAAGTATGCACATTTTTTACTTATTAATAGAATAAAATCTTTAAATTATGTTACTAAAAATGTTAATAGAAATTTAAGAATTCCGATAACAAAGTAGTCGTACTTGATCACAGAGAATACTCTAGAGAGTCTAATTAATCAATATTTATGCACCACTAGAAGGTCTTTCGCAACAACATAACCACCTGCGCCATAATGGTAAAGGTTTTCTACGTCTGTATAATAAACTAGCACCATCTCTCCTTGTGTTAAGAGCACTAACTATCGCTTGATCGAATGCCTCTTTAAGATCATGTTGAGTTAATGCAGACGTTTCTACGTAACTTATGGCTCCAACGTTTTGAGCCAATTGATGACCCTGTGTACTCGTAATTGGTGTTTGACCGTATCTTGCTAATTGTAACATAAGATGTACATCTGATCTCAAATCACTCTTTGTGCCTACCTGAAATCATTATTGCTCACATTTACAAGATAATCCCAGAGTTCTTCAACACATGTTTGATACTAAAAGAAAATAGTTTCATTACCAAAATAACCGGTGCATTAGGACAATATTTTCGCACTTCATTTATCCATCGTGAAGTTACGCTATGATACGATGATGGACATACAACACTGAAGCAGATTAGGAACACATCCGTTTCTGGGTAACACAATGACCTCAGAGGATCAAAGTCATCCTGACCTGCCGTATCACATAGTTGAACGTTTACTGGTTGGCCATCGACGTTGACAACCACTGCAACAAATTCAAATATTCCATTCGTCTTCATACAATACATGGCACCTGCAATGCATACTTCATATGTTCTAATTACAATTGCAAAGTAAATTTCAATTGTTACCACAATCTTTCAACAGTGTCGTTAGACTTTCAACTAACCGTTGTAATTGTCGAAAGCGGTAGGTATGTATTCTCCTGGGAAACCGTTCGTCGAGTATGAGACGACCAGGCTGGTTTTTCCAACGGCACCGTCGCCCACCAGAACAACCTTGATCCGTCTGTCAAGCGGGATGCCACTGTGCTCCGCGGTGCTGCCGTTCGAATTCTGATTTTGCATCGGGCAGGTTGTACGCTTCGCCTGCAGCTGCATCGTCTGTCCATTCTTCAGAAGGGGTTTCGTCCAGTTCGTGTGCGACGACGGCGGCATTATTTCGTTCTTCACTCTGCCACAGCCGCGAGCTTTCATATGTTCACACCTCTGAAAGATATCTCGGGCATATATAACCTCTACCTACAGTAGAACAAAAGCGATGCGATAGTCGCATCTATTATTGCAGCAGGTATCTCTTCCGAGTCGAAGTTTCCCCTTTCTCCATGTTGACACACGTCTTTAAAATCACGGATCGAGTTACCGATATATGTATATAAAAACAAAAAGAGAAAAACAAGCACTTCGAATGTACCCCGTCAGATACTGTGTGTATCGTTCTCGAAAACAATGGGAGAACATACACCGTCCAGAAGAGATAAAAAAAAAAAGAAAAAAAAAGAACTGATCCACCTGCCGCGATGCGGAGCCACCTGTTATTACGCTTTTCTTCTGACGATTGCAACCGGTGGCACAGGTACGCCTCACGGTTGTAGAAAATTGCTTTCACCTTGATCCCTTTCCCCCCTTTGTTTTTGACAAACGTCATTTTATATAGTTTGATATCTGTCTTCTTTTTTTTGATAGTTGTAGCTAAACTACTTGTAGATTTTGTGCATTTATGGAAAGTTCGAAGGATAGAAATGCGTGCGATGTAGGAGAATATATACATGCATCGCCGTTCAGAATTGTAGGATAAATATTATATTTATATAATGAAAATAGTACGATAAATATAGATTATAAATTATATACACAATATGCGATTTACGATATAAATTATTGTATTTGCAGTAAATACAATATAATTAAATACAGTAAATATGACAGAGCTTGCAATAGACTGTTAATATATTAATATATTGTATTATTATAATATATTATTATAATTTATATTGTATTATATTTACCAACATGCATTATTTATTATTTGTTATTTATTATAAAATGCATACTACTA